TTTTTTTTGATTTATATTCTAAAGATATAAATTAATAATATTATAAATACTCTTTTATTGTAAATTTATGTTAGCAAAGTAAAAATTGACTTTCATTTTAGTAACCGTCCAATTATATATATTCATGGTCCATGTGGCAACAATTTTCACTACAAGAAAATCCACATTTAGTAGCTAAATTATTGATCATTAAATCTTTATTTTTCGTCACAAATTATTATTAGTGATAAAATTTAAACTGTTAGTAAAACTCTTGTCACTAATGCTCTTAATGACAAATTAAGCACCCGTCACAAAAAATAATTTTATAGTGATACAAAAAATTGATATTGTTAACAAGTTATTTATAACAATTTTATTCGTCACAAAAAAATATTCGTCACAAATGTAATTATGATGCAAAATTTAGTTATTAATTATTAAAATTGATATTAAATAAAAATGATATTTATATAATTACAACACAAATATTTGAACAAAAATTTTGTCACAAAAAAATAATATATAAATTTATCACAAAAGTTAAATAAAAAATATTATTATTTCAATACTAATCAATTTTGATTAAAATTAATCAAACCTGATTAAAATTAATCAAGCTCGATTAAAATTAATCAAGCCCAATTAAAATTAATCAGGCCCAAACTAATTTCAAGTTTTATTGAGTTTCACATGTTTTATAATGTAAAAATTTATTTTCTTAAATATTTTTTGTCGATGTGGAATATATTTATAATGCAAAACCTTATTCTCTTATGTGTTTTTTATTGATGTGGGATGCATTGATTAGAGAAAATTGATAATTTTTAGTGATGAAATATATTTTTTAGTGCTAAATTAGTTGGTCATCATTGAATGTGTAAGGTATAGGTGACCAATATTAGAATTTTGTCATGATTGCAATGCATTATAGTGATGATTTTTATCGATAAAAACTTATTTTATCTCTATGAATATTTTTTGGTACCGAAATATATTTTTTATGATGAATTTTTTTTGTTCATCATTAAATATGTATGCATTTGTGACTAATTTTTTAAATCTGTCACAATTGTGATAAGTTATGGTGATAATTTCAAAATTCATCACAAATTTCTGTCACTAAAAATCATTTTTCTTGTAATGTTTAAAATTAGTGTTAATTTTCATTTTTTTTTACAAATTTATGATGAAAAGTGTTATTAACCTATGCTTAAAAAATCCTAAAAAAAGAAAGAAAAAGAAGCGCATATAAAATGACTTAAAAAACTTGAAATTTTAAATTAAAAATCATATAATTGAATTTTAAGATAGATGATGAGAAATTAAAAAAAAAAAGAGTTGTCGTTATTTATAAAACTCATCATTAGATGTAAAAAGAAAAAAAAAATCCCCAATAATTTGTGCAGAAACTACGATTTCAAGGTCATCTCTTCCTCTAATGTTTGTTGTTATTTTTTTTTAATTTTCTTTTTGAAAGGGGGATGTGAGAGGGGGGAAAAAGAGTTACACACTGCAATTTTAAAATATGACCGAAATCATGAGTTTAAATATACACCCAATCAAAGCAGCCGATGCTGCGGGTACCCCTAATGTTTGTTGTTATTAGTCTCAAATAACTCAATACATTATATATGGGCTAACTCCTAACCATTATGTTGGCTACTTTGGGCCTTTAGGCCCTCTTCTCTCAACACATGGAATCTACTGGGCCTATTTACAGAAATCCATACACTCAAAACTACTACACAGAGATATACTAGTCTTAGGATAAGCCGGCTGCCGGCTGTTCTGTTCACCCGTTGATCGTTGATCGTCTTCCCTTAGAATCAAGGAGCAGCAAAGGCGTCATCAATCCACTTCTTTCCTTGCACAGAAACCTGCTTGTTCCCGGTTTTCGCCGCCGGAGCGCCCACAAAAGATTGCAGCACCTTCTTTACGTTGTTCACGCGCTTCCGCTGGCGAATCTTCCTCAAAACCACTTCCTTGTCCAGGGTTTTTTCAGGGTGAGTAGGCTTTATGTAGAGATGACTAGTTACCGCAGAACTTACGTTCTCTTGATCTTCTTGATCTTCAGCACCGTTGCCGACGATTTCCTGATCAGGGTTTGAGAGAGCCATTATGACTGGATGAAGCTGGAGAGAAGAAACTGAGAAAGTTGTGAGACTTAAGAGTCCAGTTTAGGAAGATTGGTGCAATTTATAGAGGAGATTGATTCTGATTCAATGGTTGCAAATGAAGAGTTAGACTTGGTTGGTTTGATGGGTTCGAGGAGCCATCGGGAACAGGGGAAATGTGACAGCGGAATGCATGGTTTTTGTATTTTGTGCAAATCCGTTGTTTTGAGAAAAGTCGGTTCCAGATTCTTACAAGAAAATAATGGTTCATGATGTTTTCTTGGTGGTCAGGCGGTCTAGTTTCTCTACTGCCCGGAGTAAAAGTGAAATGAAAGCATTTTTTATTTTGGGTTTTTCTTAACAAGTTATTTTAGTGGGCTAAAAATAAAGTAAATATAATTTTTAAAAAAATTTATATTAAAAAATAAAATAAAATATTATTTTATTAATTATTTAATTAAAATTATTTATTTAACACTCTTATTAAAATTAATATAAATTTTTATATTTTTTATATATATTTATAATAAAAATATATTTTAAGACATAAATTAAAAACATCTTTTTATTTTTGTTTATGTAAAATGATATGCTATATAATAAAATATAGTATTTCTTTTTCTAAAATTCTTTTCACCTATTATAAAATTTAAATTTAAATTTTCTTATATAAAAATTTAAACTCTTAAATACAGCAACATTCTTAAAGAACTTTTATTAATGATTTTATTAGGCTCCCAATTGGGTTTGGCTTTTAGTCGGTTAATAATTGTATTTATAACTAATATTTAATAAAATAAATAATACATACTACTTAATTAATCTTGAAATCTACTTATAAGATGTATCAAATACTACTTTAATCATTTTTTTAAATATTATAAACAAATAAAATCAACTAAATTAAACACAATCTTACCTTAGCTTATTATTACTACTTTAGAATCAGATTCTAAAGTGAACCTTTTGACTTTATTCTCCCACTTGCAAAATTTTTTACCTTTTCTCCAGTTTTGTGGATTCCTTCTGTGCCCTGATAAAATAAAATATTTTAAAAAGAAAAAGAAAAAGAAAAAGAAAAAGAAAAGGAAAACGGATTCCTCAAATGTGCAATTGTGCAGGATGGGGGAAGCAGGCTTGAGAGTTCAAAATTACGGGCTCAATTTTCAGAACTTTGGGTATAGAAGTTTGCCCATTTAAACAGGGATCGAAATCAGGTTTGGGCTTAACTGGAGCTGGCTCAGCCCATCATGCATTTTCACAAGTCATAACATAACTGTACCCAAAGGATATGTCTTCTAGTTCCAGCAAGATGGACCCCATTAACATTATTGAGGTAGAAAATGAGAAGAGACTAGAGAGAGGCAATCTCTCCACAAAAATTTCCAGTGTACGTCTTACATGTGAATCTCCATCCTATGCTACGTTAGATTGCAGGCCCAAATCAAGTTTAAATGAACTAGCTTTCCATTTGGGTCAATATTAATTGACCATTTCTAGGGCGGTTAGCTTCGTCTTACTCGAAACCATGAGGTAATTATCCTATCTTCTTGACTAACTAAGATAAAAATATTGAAACTAATGACCTAAATAATTTAGTT